GTAATGTATGCTGTTGATTGTACTGTATGTTGTCGATGAAATGCCTCCCCCACCCCCTTTTTCCTCTCTTTACCCTCCCCCTATTTACTTTCAGAAAAACAAATATATATGAATATAGCTTGTGTTTTCTCTATGTTTACTTCATAGTTAGTCATGTTACTAGATTTTAAAAAAACAAAAACTTTAACATTGATGGAATAGCGCTTTCTGGATCAATTAAAGTAAGAGCAATATCGTCAGTGCATATTGTGATTTTACAACTCTGACCTGCCAGCTGTACTCTCTTTAACTTCTCCTTTTGTCAGATAATTGAGGCTAGAGGTTCTATAGACATGACATAAAGTAATAGGGCAAGTGGACACTTCTGCCGTGTGCTATTACCAATTACAAACCAATCTGATACAAGGCCATTCTCCATGATTCTGGCAGATGAGGATGTATATAAACTCAAAACTAACTCATGAAAGAAACCCGCAATCCCAAAAGGCTGGAAGGTGATTGACAGAAATACCCAATTTACAAAGGTCTTTTTGCTGTCTAGAGCTAAAAATATTGCAGGGGTTGGGTTGATTTTAGAGCTATAAAGATTGTAGGGGTTGAGTTGATTTGATTTTAATATTTTGAATCCTATTTAATAACTTCTGAATGTTATCTCCACCCATTCTATTCATTAAAAAAACAGATTGATCAGAGTATATTAATTTTGGAAGCATTCTCCATGATTCTGGCAGATGAGGATGTATATAGCATTGTAGCATTTCCAAGGGAAAGCGAGTCTGATCCCTTACTTCATCATAATAATCTATACAACAGTGGAACTATTGTTGGTTCAAATGTTTTAAAAAAGGATGCAGTAAGTCTATCTGGACCTAAAGCCTTCCCTGTTCAGAGTTTTCATTACTTGGGAAACCTCTGATGAGAAATGGGAGAATTACATTTTTCTGCTTCATTTTCATTTAATTTAGGAAGATTACATTTCCTCAAAAAATGATCCACAACTTCTGTCGATGTCTGTACCTCTAACAGGGATTTATAATATGCTCCAAAGGCATTCCTAATACCGGAAGGAGTTTAATGCATTTTGTCTCCCTCTACAATCTTCTTAATCATTTGGTACTTTTTCTTAAATTTAAGTTTATTTTACAGTATTTTCCAAGTTTTATGATATCCATAGAGCTAATGTCTCAAATTCTCAATAACATTATTGACTTTAGGTTTTAATTTATTCTTTATGTCTAGTTGAATTTACTTTAATGTGTTTGAGATCACCAGGAAAGAGAAGCACAGAGGAAGGGAAAATATTGGAGAGGTACATCCAGGGCCTGCCTTATTTCTTTAGATGCCCTGTGTGAAAAATTTTCACAGCACCCCATCTTGGTCACATTCGCTTATCCATGCATTCTTGCATAGTGTTTGTAAAGGGGGTTTATTACAGTAATAATTATTAAAGAACCAAAAAACAAATATTCATCTCCCCTTGCAGGGAGGGGGCATGCTTATCTCTGGTGGTCAGCGCCTCTGCCTCCATGTGTGATATGAGTGTATTGACTGTGTGTGATATATGTGATGAGTAGTTAATTCAGATTTTTGTTTTTTTTAAATGCATGAAGGTCCATGTGTGAATGCAGGTATGCATTTTTGCAGAGTCGCATGCGTACAGAGACAGTCAGATGAACATAGTTATACACTGTCAAAAACAGCCACATGCAAATAGTCACTTGCACATAGTTGCAGACACACACAGTTACAAAATGAATCATTTAGGCTATTAAGTGGTAGTACCACATATAAAAAAAAATGTAAAATAGACCCAACTAATGAAATAAAATTAAGTTAATGAAAAATGAAAATCACTAGGAATTTTAAAAAGGTATAAAAATGTTTTAAATGCCACATGTTTGAAATTTCCAGGGTTTTTTTTTATCGCCTACCAAAGGTACACAAAAATAGCAAAAAACCTCCTGGAGGACCTCTAGTATCTAGTATTGGTTCAATAACAAGTAATCTTTCCCAATACGTTGACAAATGCCTCCAGACCATTGTATGTAAATGCCCAAGCTATTTAAAAGACATCCTTTAATGTTTTACAAGTTTTAAAGGATAATAGATGTAACAGTGACTTCTACTTGTTAACAGCTGATGACAATTCACTGTACACCATTATATCACACGATAGAAGGTGCCAAGCAACAAGATATTATTTAGAAATATCCCAAGTATTTTCAGAAGTCCAAACTTATTTTATAATAGAGGGGATATATATTGGTTTGGTGAAGATTTTTTTTTTATCTGCAAGTATGTGGGAAGACAATGGGCACCAGGTTTGCACATAGTTATGCAACTTTATTCATGTATTTGTGGGCATAGATTTATATATGAGGACCACGGATCACTGTTAGATAGTGGACATCTTTTTTTTATATGGATAGGTGATAAATCTTCTCTCCTTTTTAACTAATTTAGATTGTAATAATTGGGGTATACATTTGACCAGCAATTGTAAATAATCAGTTACTTTCTAGACTTATCCATTTAGATTGAGGGAGGGGTATTGAAATATTGCACCTTTTTTTTTTCAAGAGGGCGGATGTCAATAGCTACATAGAGGAGAGAAGTTGTCACTTCTGCCTGTAGCTGTTGAATGCTTCGAAGGCCCACATTTTAAGGATAAAATGCTATTGCACTAATAATAAAAAGTTTCATGAACAGACAAAGAATATTTTAAATGATTTTAAATACAAAGGATACAATGACAATATATTACCAGGACCACGCTCCCACACTCACCCTGCAGACCACTCATGTTCATACAAACCCCACCTCTGTTTGTGCGAACTCTACTTACCAATCACGGTTACTGAACACAGCAGGAATATAACGCTGTTCGTGAGAACACCACTTACCAAACACAGCACTACAGAAGACAGAACTCCGTTCATACGGATACCGGTTACCAAACACAGCAAGATGGAACTCTGTTCGTGAGAATGCCGCTGCTTCTACATGCGACCACACAGGAGGTAGAGCTTTGCGAGAATCAAAGGGCGCCGAAACAGAGCCTTTTAAAGGTACAGGAGGTGGCGACCAGGGAGAAATCTCAATAGACAAGCCCGCCCACTCTCACTTTTTAAACCACACACACTCTTCGCTCAGTTGTACTATACTCCTGATCGTGTAAAGACCTTCAGTGACTATCTTGTTGAATCCTGATCTTGGTCCTTGCCTGTATCATTGCTTCTGAACCTGTGCCACCTGTCCTGACCTTTGGCTTCCCCGACTACCCTCTTCATCTGAGCCTTTTGTACTGCGAACTTGGCCCATTGCCTTCGGTACTCCTCTACATCTTGGGCTCTGTCCACTAAACTGTGAACCCGACATTTATTAAAAGAAGCCTATTATGAAGTTGAGTTAAAAATCCTAATTAATAGACACTGGCCAATTTAAAAAACAAACGATGCAATATTAAATCCAATACTCTCAGAGAAACCAGCAATTACATATAAGGGAGCCCAAAGTTGAAGGAGCTGATTGGTGCATAACCACATTCACCCAAAGAGACCTAATAAAAAATTTTTTAAAAGCCCAATGGTTTATATACAGGGCTCGAGTCCTGCAGGAACGCGTGGGAACGGCGTTCCTGCACTTTTTTCACAGCAGGAACGCCGTTCCCCCTGCAGGCACTCAGGGGGCGGCAAAAAATGCCGCCCCCAAATGCCCCCCCTTGTTTCCCCTGTCATGGGGGGGGGGCAACCTGATGGATTGCCCCCCGGCGCACGGCTCTCTCCCTGTCACACGCGGAGAGGGAGCTGTATGCTCTCTGCAACCTCTCGCCGCGCGGGATGCCTGCTGTTGCTGGGAGCCGGGTTGATGACGTCATATTCCGGCTCCCGGCATCAGCAGACATCCCGCGCGGCGAGAGGGTGCAGAGAGCATACAGCTCCCTCTCCGCGTGTGACAGGGAGAGACCTGTCCTCACTGCAGCCCCACTGGACCCCAGGGAAAGGTAGGGATGCTGGGTGGGTGGGAAATGTTAATTTTTTTATATTATTATTAATTTGTATATATGTATGTCTGTTTGTGTATGTGTGGATGTGGATGTCTGTTTGTGGATGTGTGGATGTCTGTTTGTGGATGTGTGGATGTCTGTTTGTGTATGTGTGGATGTGGATGTCTGTGGATGTGTGGATGTCTGTTTGTGGATGTGTGGATGTCTGTGTATGTGTGGATGTCTGTGTATGTGTGGATGTCTGTTTGTGGATGTCTGTTTGTGGATGTCTATTTGTGGATGTGTGGATGTCTGTTTGTGGATGTGTGGATGTCTGTTTGTGGATGTGTGGATGTGGATGTCTGTTTGTGGATGTGTGGATGTCTGTTTGTGGATATGTGGATGTCTGTTTGTGGATATGTGGATGTCTGTTTGTGGATGTGTGGATGTCTGTTTGTGGATGTCTGTTTGTGGATGTGTGGATGTCTGTTTGTGGATGTCTGTTTGTGGCTGTGTGGATGTCTGTTTGTGGATGTCTGTTTGTGGATGTGTGGATGTCTGTTTGTGGATGTGTGGATGTCTGTTTGTGGATGTGTGGATGTCTGTTTGTGGATGTCTATTTGTGGATGTGTGGATGTCTGTGTATGTGTGGATGTCTGTGTATGTGTGGATGTCTGTTTGTGGATGTGTGGATGTCTGTTTGTGGGTTTGTGGATGTCTGTTTGTGGATGTCTGTTTGTGGATGTGTGGATGTCTGTTTGTGGGTTTGTGGATGTGTGGATGTCTGTTTGTGGGTTTGTGGATGTCTGTGGATGTGTGGATGTCTGTTTGTGGATGTCTGTTTGTGGATGTGTGGATGTCTGTTTGTGGGTTTGTGGATGTGTGGATGTGGATGTCTGTTTGTGGATGTGTGGATGTCTGTTTGTGGATGTGTGGATGTCTGTTTGTGGATGTCTGTTTGTGGATGTGTGGATGTGTGGATGTCTGTGTATGTCTGTGTATGTGTGTATGTCTGTGTATGTGTGTATGTCTGTGTATGTGTGGATGTCTGTGTATGTGTGGATGTCTGTGTATGTGTGGATGTCTGTTTGTGGATGTGTGGATGTCTGTTTGTGGATGTGTGGATGTCTGTTTGTGGATGTCTGTGGATGTGTGGATGTCTGTTTGTGGATGTGTGGATGTCTGTTTGTGGATGTGTGGATGTCTGTGGATGTGTGGATGTCTGTGGATGTGTGGATGTCTGTTTGTGGATGTGTGGATGTCTGTGGATGTGGATGTCTGTGGATGTGGATGTCTGTTTGTGGATGTCTGTTTGTGGATGTCTGTTTGTGGACGTGTGGATGTCTGTCTGTGGATGTCTGTCTGTGGATGTCTGTCTGTGGATGTCTGTTTGTCTCAGTGTGTGTAGGAGTGTATTTATGTCTGTTAGCGTTTGTACGTGTGTATGTGAGTGTATGTGCTTCTGTTAGTGTATGCATGTGTATGTTTGCAATTGCATGTATGTGCATACATTATTGTAAGTTTCTGTCAAATAAGTGAGAGTCTGTCATTTAGTGTGTGTGTGACTATTAGTGTGTGTCTCTCTGTCAATGAATGAGTGTGTGTCAGTGAATGTGTGTGTCAAATCAGTGAAGTCTGTGTGTTTGTCATTGAATGTGTGTGTTACTGTCAGTGTGTATCTGCCAGTGTGGGTGTCTGTCAGAGAGTGTGCTTAAAGGACCACTCTAGGCACCCAGACCACTTCAGCTTAATGAAGTGGTCTGGGTGCCAGGTCCAGCTAGGCTCAACCCATTGTTTCATAATTATAGCAGTTTCAGAGAAACTGCTATAATTATGAATGGGTTAAGCCTTCCCCCATTCCCTCTAGTGGCTGTCTCATTGACAGCCACTA